AAACAAAAAAGAATATTCTGTTTGGCCAAAAGTCTTTTTTGTTTTTTGGCTGAAGTGTTTTTTTTCGTTTATAAAGTTAAAGTGTTTGACCAAGATTTTTGAAAAGAAAAAAATACTTTTAAGTAGAAGCAGAAAGAAGCATAAAGATTCTTCTCAGAAATATTTTTGTAAAAAATACACTTAAATACATTTTTTAAAAGCTTTGTCAAACACTTATTACTGCTCAAAAAATACTTTTTAAAATTAATTAGCCAAACATGAATTACTTTTTGGTGAGAAAGTAATAAGCTCATTTGATGCATCGCAGTGCATTTACTATAAATCTTTTGATTACTAGTGATGATGTGATCTAAATTTGCAACTTTTTGACCATCGAGTTGTTCTTACGATGTGCGTGTTGGACTAATCCGAATCGAATTTCTTCTTTGTTTTTAGTTTTCCTCCAATTTCTAGTTGAATCCCTTCCTAATTTTAAATTGTGGTACTTTTATAAACCACTATAATTTAGGCCCTATAACTATATATAATTTGCCTAATTATCATTCCTAACTACTATTCAATTGTTACTAACTTGTATTCAAACGTGCAACGAATACAACGTGTATCAACGCATACAACATGCATCGACTGTATTTATTAGCGCAACGAATACAACTAAGGCAAAATACAGAAAAATAAAATGTTCTTGTTGAGAGTTGAACTCAAAACCTTTGCTAACTAAACATGCGCTCTAACCAACTAAGCTACGAGAGGATATTACAACTTGTATCACTTGTATTCAAACGTGCAACGAATACAACTAAGGTGAAATACAGAAAAATAAAATGTTCTTGTTGAGAGTTGAACTCAAGACCTTTGCTAAACTAAACATGCACTCTAACCAACTAAGCTACAAGAGCTTGTTGCTCTCTTTTATCAGTTCAAAAAAATTAATCTCTTATTTTAATGAATTTGCTAATGATTCCAATATAGCTATGAATGATAAATTTGCTAAAAGTATATCTATAAAAAATAAATATAATATAAATGTTTGATGTATAGCGTAATTTTCCCTTTTAAAATTGGGCCAATACATTTCTCATAAGCCCATAACCTTACTGCTGTCCACCAAATCCACAAAATTGTCTGATAGTGAACTAAACTATGGGCAAGTGTACATATAGTCATTCTCATAAACGCTATTTAGGAATTAGTCGGTACTTATTTTGTCCTGAAATTTTAAACTAAAAATCTTAAATTCAGGACATCTCGGGATATTTTCGTCCTAAGAAAATAAACTAAAAAAATTAAAATTTAGGACACTCCGACTATTTTTTAAATAGTAGCCCTTTGGAGTGGCTACCTCATATCATTTCTACCTAAACTATAGTAAGGTCCATGGGCCCATGTGCCAGTGGGTAGCAAGGTGTCACAACCCAAAACCCACTAGTCGTGATGATACCTAACTCAACCCGCTAGGTAAGCCAACTAATAACTATGCAATTCCAATAATATTAATAAGATAATTAAACAAAAGAAATTATTTGAATCTTATATATTTCCCAAGAACTGGTAGTGTAAGCATCTAATTTTCGACTATATTTGAATTTCTCACCAGCTTTTAGTATGTAAATATGTTTTAAGTTTATCTACATATTTTAGCCTTTATTTCACTTTTTAGTAGGTTTATTTGATAAAATTAAAAAAAATACAAAAGAGTTATATTTTTAAGAGTATTAGTTTTATTTTCATTTACAAAGAAAGAAAAGTTTAAAAATATAAAGTTTTATTTAGTTTAGTGTAATATTCTAAATCATAGGCTTTCGACAAATAAATATTGAGTGTAGTAATTTTACTTTACTTTTTATTTACTTATTTAGTAGGAGTAGATTATTTTTGCTTATTTATTATCAAAAAATACTATAAAAAGAAAGAACCAATTAAAAGTGTCCATTTGCCAAAGATTACTCCTTATCTTCCCATAACAAACTCACATGCACCATATTGNATATATATATATATATATATATATAATACAAGAACAATACACACAATTGGAGAGACAAAAAACAGAGGACTAGGGGTGAGAGAAAAATTAAGAGGCTCAAACCCGGGAATACCGATCTGAAAAAGAAGAATAAGAACGAAAAACGACAAAAAGGGGGCTGCCAGAAAAAAGCTTTTGAGCTTAAAAAAAAGGCTTTGAACAAAAGTTTCGGCCGAAGAACACACACATCAAAGAGAGAACAAAAAGAAAAATGGCGAAAAAAGAGGTGAGGAAAGAAATTGAGACGGAGGGACAATGAGTGACGACAGACACAAAAAAAAAATTAGAAGCCTTCCACCTTCTTCTTTTTCCTCATCTCCACCATGAACCTCCATGATAATATCTGATTTTTATCCATTAATATCAAGTCTCAAGTTGTCCATGAACAACCCAAAAACCCCCAAACACTCAGCACCTCTAACCAGCAAAAAACATCTCCAAAACTAGTTTCTTCCAAGCTGAAACAACTCCAAAATGTGGCTGAAAAACAGCCATAAATCCAGCAAAATTTCAGCCCAAAAAGCCCCATGAAAGCTGTTAAGAATAAGTCCAAACAAGCAATAAAAATGCAACAATTTTGCACAAAAAACATAGCTGATAATTCCATGGAAAACCAGCTCAAAATCTGTCAGTCGAGGTCTCCGACGAAGCTCTTCGTGCCCGGTCTAGTTTGTTCGATTTTCTCGCCGGATTTCCATCTTTGTAGTCAACAGATCTTCATGTATTTAAGAAGGTCGTTCTTTCAGTTTCTTTTACTACTTTGTTCTAATTATCATGTTGCCTTACTTTGTTGTTTGAGTCAGTATTTAATCTGTCTCTAATTTTTGTTTCATTTTTCTTTTTACTGTTATTTTTTTCCTTTTCTTTCACGCAACTATACTACTGTTTCCTTGGTTTTCTTTATTAAATGTTGATTGGTTTATTAGCTTTTTTTTTTTTTTTTTTTTGCCTTTGTCATTTTCTCTTACTCTTTTGATTCAAATAGCGTTAGTTGGCCATGATGTTAGGTAATTTCCATTACTTCTTCATAATTTGTTAATTTCTTTAAGTGATCATCTTTAGCTAATTTGTTATCCATAATTCATTGCCTCACAACAAATTCAAAATTTAGGAAAATAATCATGAACATCATAGCTTGTTTTAGGCGCGATTAATAAATCATTGTGACTATGGGTATGGTTCCCGTGACATAATCATGATACATAAATCCCTATTCGAGTGTACGCTTCACGTGACTCGACCACAACTTCAAATAATAATAAAATAAAGTATGTTGTAAGTCGCGGGTGCGTTTCACGTGGCATGATTTGCAATATGTACAAAAAAAATGAGTGCGCGACATCACGACTTGTTCAAATAAATTCCATAAACACTAAAAGGCGATTAAATCAACAGCGGTTAAGAAAGTAAAAAAAAGCACAATAGGTTTGAAATATGTATTAATCAAGTAATTAGACCAATTAATAATAGTTGAGTGATTGTGCTAAAATTACGGAACCTGGAAATGCCTAACACCGTCTCTCGGGTTAACAAAATTCCTTACCCGGATTTCTGGTTTTTGCGGACATTAAACAGAGCCATTTTTTCCTCAATTTGGGATTCTAAAAATAAACCGGTGGCTTGGGGCACCATAAATTATCCCAAGTGGCGACTTCGATTAAAATAATAATCCCATTTCGATAATGTCACTTAAATTGAAAAAACTCTCATCCCTTGGCGAGAAAAAATGAGGTGTGACAGCTCTGACGATTCTACTGGGGACAAGAACCCAGAATCTCTGGTTCAGGATTCAGAATTCGAGCTTAGAATAATTATTATAGTTGGTTTTGTTTATTATTTGATTTTTACGTGTTTGAGCCTAATGTGCTAAATACCGCTTTTTACCGCTTTGATATTGTTTGAATTGTATATAAATTGTTACAAAACTCTTCTTCTCTCTGAGTCTTCTAAATCTTCTAGGAAGTGCACGCTGGCATGACTTCTTTTCTGTTAGTGTCATACCTAATTTAGAATGAGGATTGGATCAGTTACAAAACCGGATGGCCTTTCGGTTACCGGTACGTTCCCCCTGTCACGACCCCTGGTTCACCCTCCGTGAACTATCATGACGCACCTAGTCTCTACGACTAGGTAAACCTAAACTTGCGAAAGGTAACCAAAACTTGTGGAAGTAAAACAATTTAAAAACAGAAATAATGCAATAACAGTGTTAAATGTGCCGCTCGGCATACACCATATTTGTATAGATCTCAAAACCAATATCTAAATCCAAGATCC